TGTGTTTGCTTGTGTTCTTTTTCGTCTCATTTCTATGCCAAGAAGTACATATCTCACAACAAAAACAATAAGCATCAACTCTATCAGTGTTTTTAAAAAACATTTATTATTTTAAATTAATAATTTTCGCTTAGATTCTTTCAATTATGACATTATCCAAAACCTTAAAAAAAATTGTTTAGTCCAAAACCATGTGGAGAAAATTTTCCAGCCTAATTCATAACTCAGAAGCATTCAGCAATCACGAGCAGAACCAAATCATAGCCATACAAATATATAATGGTTTGCTAATACTCGGCTGGAGCAAAATCTGGCACCTATATTTCAATTCAACCAAAAAATCTATTTGGATTTGATCCATATCTGATCAAAGTAAACATTTAATACCGTCAAAAAGCACAAAAGAAAAATAATATTAATACAAATACATTAATGAATAAATACTAATATGTTTTAGTCTTCAAACTTAAATCATGCTGCCGTTCAAGGCCACTTTTTTTATCCTTAACTATAACGTGAATTCACATCCCTTAGTTTGTGCAAGGCCGGTGAGCAAGTTGGAGGTTCTCTTTAAAACTTCTTCAATTATGAGGCGAATTTAAAGCATATTCTAAACTCATTTCTAATTTGATTGTCATTAGAGCTCAACTTTCCAAAAATAAAAATAAAAATCCTTAGTTATCGTTATTTTAGAGAAATTTATAAAATACAACAAATTTTTTATAAGTTTACATATTTAACACCTAAACTTTAATGTTTATGTTGACACCATTTAATTGTCATAAATCTATGCAAGAAAATATACATTTCATCTTAAAAAAATAAATAATATGATATATTTGATATGATATTAAAGATTTAAGCTTCATAGAAAATTTAGCTGTTAAAAATGTGAATGCATAAGAATTGTGTGATACATACATACATTCCTCTAATTTATTATACTAAAGTATATAATAGATTAATATCTAACAAATACAACACTAAAACATGCGCAATACAAATCTGACTTGCGTCGAATCCAGTGTCAGTGCTTTAATTAAATAAAATAATAAATAAAAACACGTGTTTCATAGAAAAATGAAATAATATTTTTAGAAAAACACATTTGATATATTCAAAGAAATAAGATGATTTGACTTTCCTAAAAAAATAACTAAAAATTTTCTTTAATAAATAATTTATTTAAATTGTTTTTCTCATATTTTTAATGTAAATCTATGTTTATATATAAATTAGATAGTTTGAATTTTATATTTAGCCGGCAGTAAAACGGCACATTAACTCGTTGCGGTTAACACTCAGTCCTTTTTGGCTTTTTTAGAGGCGACCAGGTTAAGTACCGTTAATGGCAGGCGCTTTCCTAAGCCATCTTCTATCCAAATGGCCTTACCTTAGGCAAGCTAATTCACTATTATTGTTAATTAAATTAAAAAAAAAAAGGCACTTTGCAAGAAAAAATGGCTCTTTTCGAAGAAACTAAGGAGACTTTTTAATCAGAGCAGAACGAAGCACCCAAAGCTCGAAAGACGGAATCCAAAACAGAGTAGAAGCCTTCGAGTTACCTTCTCCGCTCAAAATCTTGCAGCCGGCAACAGTCGCCACTTTCTCAATCATTCCTTCTACCTGCAAGCAAACAGCTTCAGTTTATCAAAAGATCATTCTTTTAAAATCTTAGCAGTAAAAAGGATCGTCATTTTAATCTACAAAACGGTTTCTTTCCTGCTCTGGTGTGCTGAGTTGGGAGGGAGGCCATGGACGCTTCGCAGAGAAAAGGGTGCGGAGTGCCGATGTCTCCCACTCAAATTCCGAGACCAAGCGAAAAGTATGGAAAGGATTCTCGATTAAGCGAGGCGAATGGGCACTTAAGCGGCAAGAATGATAAGGAGAAGGGAATCAATGTTCAAGTAATTCTTAGATGCAGGTAAATAAAGATAAAATAAGTTATGTTCTAACCACCCCCCCACCCTTCCCAGTCATGTTGTTTCCTGAGTTTATAACTCACTATTTTGATAGACCTTTGAGTGAGGAAGAGGAGAGTTTGAAGATGCCGGCGATCATATCCTGTAATGAGATGACGAGAGAAGTATTGGCAATTCAGAATTTTGGGAACAAACAGATCGACAGAAAGTTTGTGTTTGATAAGGTATTTCAGAAATTTGTTCCTGTTGTTTTACTGATTAGAATAGAATTTGAAAATAGGAAGATTTACGTACATACCACTCAATATATATGTACTTATATATCTAGCATCTAAGCTTCAATTTTTACATACAGACCATCTTTCCTAAGCATAAAAAAGTGTATTTTACATTTTGAAAGTTAAAAAGAGTTGTATTTTTTATGTGATATGAAAGATTTGGGTGGTATAAAGTTAAAAACTTAGTTTAGGTGTTAGATAAGTAAATACAAAAAAATTGGCCCATGAAAACATTGAACTGATGGAAACATTACTGTTTTGATGATTTTGAGTAGGTTTTTGGACCAAAATCTCAACAATTGGATTTGTTTAATCAATCCATTTCACCCATAGTGGATGAGGTGCTCGAAGGCTTTAACTGCACTATTTTCGCATATGGGCAGACCGGTACTGGAAAAACGTATACTATGGAGGGAGGAAAGAAAGCCAAGGTGATTATTTATTTATTTAATATTTGATTTAATATGATTCAATGGTATCGGGATAGCACTGCAATGTTAACAGTTATGCAAATTACATTGCTATTTACCTAAGAATATATATATTTTTTTGATTCAGTGATAGAGTGCTTGAACAATTTAGTTTGTTGTTTTGATCATGACCTGATGTTAAAATTTTTTGTTTTAGTGACAAATTACTATGAACAAAATAAGTATATAAAAGAATCATAATCATGAATCAATCATTTCGAATAACATTATAACATTACCTGAACAAAACGCTTACCCAAACATACAAAATATTTTATGTAACATTAAACAATCAATCCATCCAAAATATATTATTGAAGATTTCATCAAGTTAAACAACTAACACAGCATTACAACAATTAAGTCTTCATAACTACTTAGGTTTTAATCACTCTGTTGTTCTCCAGCACGGGGAATTCTCCAGTGATGCAGGTGTAATTCCAAGGTCTGTTAGGCAGATTTTTGAATCACTTGAAGCACAGTGTGTGGATTACAGTATGAAGGTTAGCTTTCTGGAGCTTTATAATGAAGAGCTAATAGACCTTCTGGCTTCAGATGAGTTGAAATTATCAGATGACAAGTCTAAAAAACCTATAGCTTTCATGGAGGATGGGAAAGGAGGAGTCTTTATTAGAGGACTGGAGGAGGATATAGTTTGCTCTGCTGATGAGATATACAAGATATTAGATGCAGGTTCTGTAAAGAGGCACACAGCTGAGACTCTACTTAACAAGCAGAGCAGTCGTTCTCACTCCATATTTTCAATCACAGTTCAAATCAAGGAGGTTACTTTAGAGGGTGAAGAACTAATCAAAATTGGGAAGCTTAATCTTGTCGATTTAGCTGGCTCAGAGAATATTTTGAGATCCGGTTCTCGTGAGGTAGGCAATACATCAATATGCTTTGAGGGGTAATTTGATCAAACAAACGTCTATAAAATTGATTCTGATTCAATTTAAATACTTTAAAGAAAGTTGGAGTTTTTATTTGTGGAATTTGCTTAGGTAGCACACAATTCTAATGTATATATATATGTGACACCTATACTTTCATATTTACATACATAGCACTTCGGTGTTTTAAATCCATCGATGAATGTGTATTTCACCTTTAAAAAGTGGTAATGGTGCTATTTTTGATGTTATATCAAACATTTGAGTGCTATGTGTAAATATATAAGTTTAGTTGTGAGATATGTAAATAATAAGAATTGTGTGCTACGTATGCAATAGCCCCTTATTATATTTTAAATTTACTTTCAATGAAGTCAGAAGTGCTTTCCAATCATGAAATGATAGCTACAATTTCATTTTTATCAAAAAAACATAGTAATTAATATCGCAAAAAGTGAATACATTAAGAACAAAATGCAACATTGAAACTCGCTATTGCCTTTCATATTTCATTGCCTGGCCATTTGTACATAACTTTTGATGGCCATGAAAATGTTATGTCTTTGCAGGGAAGAGCAAGGGAAGCTGGCGAGATGAATAAAAGTTTGCTTACACTTGGCCGGGTAATAAACGCACTAGTTGAGAACAATAACCATAGTCCTTACAGGTAATTTATGAAAATTTGCATCCTATAATTTGTTCAAATCTATAATTTGATATATTTTTGCTGAGGTTTTGTGCTATTTGTTTTGTCAGAGAGAGCAAACTGACAAGACTACTGAGGGATTCCTTGGGAGGAAACACAAAGACTTGTATCATTGCCACCATATCACCCTCTATTCAGTGTTTGGAGGAGACACTAAGCACATTAGATTATGCAAATCGTGCCAAAAATATAAAGAACAAACCAGAGGTAACCAATTCAATCAGTTATTTGCTAGTGTACATAAATTTGATTTCTATGATAACAAATTTTACTTTGATTTTTCTATCACCATTTTGCAGCTAAATCAAAAAATGATGAAATCTGCCATGATGAAAGAGTTATGCTCTGAGATTAATCGGCTCAAACAAGGTCTGTGAATGTTGTTAAATTTTAGAACACTATCTCAGTCTCAGTCATCATCCGTTAATCTATTTACCCCGCTCCCTCTTCCTTGCATTTGAGCATAAAAAATCAATTTAAACTTTTTGATCTTGTGGGTGTCCTCTTTAAATTTAGGGGCATTTACATACATACCACCTAAATCCTATGTCTTTAAATATCTAACACCTAAATTTTATTTTTTACATTTATACCACCCAAATCTTTTATATCACAAAGAAAATACCACCATTTTAACTTTTAAGAAGTGAAATAAACTTTTTTATGCATAGTAAGGTGGTGTGTGTGTAAACATTGACGTAAAGGTTTTAGATATGTAAATACATAGGAATTGAGTGGTATGCATGTAAATCTTCCCTAAATTTAATGTTCTCAGTAACAGGCGCTCCAGAAATTCATTCTAGCTTTAGCCCTTGCTTGACACTAAGAAACCATTGCACCGGTATTTGCATTGCATTTAATTTGTAGGGTGGAATGGAACAAAGGAGTGGCTGGGGGAGGCACTCGCCACCCATAAACCATTACTAAACCCTTTTTATTATATAATAAACTAAAAAATTTGCACACCTTAATGTTTAATACTTAATAATAATTTATTATTAATTATACTTTAATTTAATAATCATATTTATAACAGTTACAAAATGTATCAGGAGATTATAGTTTTAAAGTTAAACATTTGCCAACTCTTGATTTTTGATTTCGCCGCACCTCATTTTAAATTGAATCCCGCCACCACCATACACAAACATATGCAGACAACTCATTAACATTCTACCAATATCACCTAAAAATCTCTAAGAACTTAACTATTTCATAGTACAAACATCCATGGCTAGCATCAAATCTTTCAACCTTAAGTTTCAAATTTCCTTGAGCCAATTTACATAGAAATCTAGAGAACTAGCGAAAAAAATACTAAAAACAAATTTTTAACCACACATTTAAGCACAAACCTCATTGCACCAAGTGATTTAAGCATTTTGTACCATTTAGTTTTGCTTCAAAGTGTGCCATTGTTGATTTTTTTATGAACCACATGCGCAGAAGTAAATGTTGCAAGAGAGAAAAATGGAATATACATCCCCAGGGATCAGTTCCAGCAAGAAAAAGCTAAGAAGAAAGTTGGCATGTAATATACTGTTAGCATGATAGCATCAAGCAGAAAATATTTCCATCAGATAATAACCCCTCACACATTATTTCAGGGCTCTGGCAGAGAAAATTGAAAAAATGGAATTTGAATTGGAACAAAAAGAAAAGGTAACTTCTATCGTTTCATCAAAGTAAGATTTACATACATACCAGTTAGTTACTATGTATTTACATATCTAACACCTAAACTTTAATTTTTAAATATATGCCAACTTACATATGAGTGAAAAGGTGTATTTCACGTTTTAAAAATTAAAATAGTGGTTTTTTAATGTTATATGAAAGATTTGGGTGCTATAAATGTAAAAAAAATGAAGTTTAGGTATTGGATATGTAAATACATAATAATTGAGTGGCATGTATGTAAATGCACATTGATCAAAATGTCTAAGAGCTAGCTTTTAGAATAATTTTTAAACTGGAAGATGATGTTGAGACCAGAAATTAATTGGCCTTCAAGAGCTTTATGATTCGCGGCAACTTTTGAGTGCACAGTTAAGTGAAAAACTCGACATTGCGCAGGTATGGTAACCCCTGCTTTTAAATACATGTCCAAACCCTGATAGAAGAAAATTTACATTTATTTTTTCCGTTTGCGCAGAAAAAATTGAAAGAGAATGAAAACATGATAGTTGACCAAGAAGAAAGATGTCAAAAGGCAAAGTGCACAATAAGGGAAAAGGATTATGTGATAATGAATCTCCTTCATTCAGGTTGGCTTAGTGTTATTGTTTGTTTATATTTTTTATTTTGGAAGAACTTAAAGATTTTATAGGAATTTCTGTGTTCTCAAAAGGACGTTTCTATGGCACAAATTAATACCAATAATAATAATGAAAATTATGTCATCAATACAGATTTATAACAATAGATTACGGGCCTATGCTTGGATAGGAATTGAAAATTTTCTTTCCAAGAGAGAATTGTCAACTCCTCTCTAATATGCATACCTAACCTTATACAAACTAGATAAAACAACAACAAGAAGAAGAAGCCTTTATCCCAAAAATAGATAATTCAATCAAATAAAATCAAAGGAATTTACATACCTAGCATGCATTTCTTATGTATTTACAAATCTCACACCTAAACTTTCATATTTACATATATAGCACTTCGGTGCTTTAAACCCTATGCATGTATTTCACCTTTAAAATATGATAATAGTTCTATTTTTATGTGATACTAAAGATTTGAGTGCTATGTGTGTAAATATAAAATTTAGGTGTAGATATGTAAATGCATAAGAATTTTGCTATGTGTGTAAATGCACCTAAAATAAATCACTAAAAATAATAAAAATTGGGCTATAATTAAATATAAATCTAAAAAAGAATTGAAAAGAAACTTAGATGATGGTTAGATCCAAACTTTATATGCACATTTCCTCTACAAGTTCTTTCAAATGTGGAACAATAGTAATTAGGTGATGAAAGTGGTGGTGGTATCACAAATTCAGACTCTATGACATATAATGAGAGCAAATTACAATCATTTGAAGTAGCAAGCATCTCCTAAAATATTGACAAGCAAATTAAAGCAATCTCTTCGACTAACTTTTCAAAATTTATTGTTTCATACTCAAAATTTTTCTAAGGCTCGGGCACTTCATCAGTCATAGAATTTGACTTGATCACTGATAATATCTCAAATCAACTTCCAACATAGTAGTAAACTAAAGCGTTGATAACTCATAAATTTTTCAGTTCATCAAGACAAGGAGGTGACTTCATAAACAAATTCTTAAAAACCATCATCATAAATTTCACCATCATCCAAGGGCAAAATATGATGTTTAGGCTGATTAAACTCAAATATATTGAGTATCCCTAAAGTTATAATCAACCATAGGAATTCTTTTGTTGACTTTACTTTGGCTTATGTTGCACACATATCTTTATAAAATATGTTATTTCATGAAATTCTTCTTTAAACATATTAAGTTTCCAAAATTTTATACATTTGAGAAAAATGCTTTCACGCTTTGTTGAGGTTGCTAACAAGTTAGTGAATCAATTTTGATTATGATCAATAGCATGTGATCGAACAGTATTACCTTACATACTAGGACTAAAGATTACAGTTCTTGATCATTTTGATAGGATGAATAATATTCATTAACCTATATTTGTTGGATTGATCGTACAAGCATGTGATCCTAATAATCATCATAAGCATGCCACTGACAAGAAATTCATATTACAACATGTTATCATATCACATGGTAAAAATTAATAAGAATAATTGAACATAAATTATAATAGAAATCATAATAGCCAAAAATCTAGGGTTTGTAAAACACATTTGCAAGAACATGAAACTCATCGAACAGGAGGGCTTCATTTCCACCATCCTGTCAGAGTTCTGATCCTTGCCAACACTGCAACTTCTAATAACAGCGAAGAGAGAGGAGAAATGAGATTAAGACAGATAAAGAAGAGGAGTGGAAGAAAGAGAATATAACTTACGTATGTCGGAGCTTTTATCCGTCTCCTCACAGGAAAACCCATCGTGCCCTCAGCCCCTCACCGTTCCCTCGCATTTCCCACGGGTCCTCCTCTCATCGCAAATTGGCAGCGGGATTCCCAAAGGCTTTCTTTTTTGTTCTATTTTCTGATTTATGGGATAGTTGGGTAATTATCATCAGAAATATTAATATTTATAAATTAATCATCCATGTACATCAAAAATTTATAGTCACAAATCATAAAAACATCTCATGAACTATGAAATAGGTGATGTGTCACCTAACCTGTGTGGCATATCAATGATGACCCAGAACCACATGCTTAGCCAAGCCAACTCACGTGTATTGGATTGGGACGTGACAAGTTCATCTGAATGGATCTGATGTGATGGATTACTCATCCAAATAACCATACCCATGAACCCCCATGAGTAATGTTTATGTATACCCAACAAAACTTATGTATTTTAGGAATACAATATGTAATTGTATCTTTATCCATACCTATAAATTTGAAATTAACCAAGATATCAACTTTAGGAGTTGCTTGTGATATCAGCTTTTACATGATGCAAATCTGAAATTACAACTGCTAACCGAGGTAGCATACCGCCTTTCGATCTCTACCCTTCACATGCTGTTTAATAATGATTCCTACATGTACTTTGTAAATGTCTAAATCAATTCTACATAACTTCATCTTTTACAGGAGCTGTTCAAATTCTTTTTAAATAAATTGTTTTTTTGCACATTTTGGTCACAATGAACTTTTGTTTCCGATTTTTTATGTTATTTTATTCATTTCTTGCAGAAAGGGCGCTTGCTGAACATGCGCGGGGTCTTCATTTGGAGCTTGAGCATGCAGCTGCAGATATTTCAGGCTTGTGCGGTAAAATTGGTTAGTATAGAGGCTTTTATGAGCATATAAGTCGTTAAGAGTTTTTTTTCTCTCCCTATTTTCTTTCTTTATTTTTTTCTTTTCTTCTTTTGGTGAGCGCTCAAAACTATATCTAACGCCAACTCTAAATTTTATATTTATACCACCTAAATCTTTCATATCTCTTAAAAAATGCATCATTTTTTATTAAAAAAAAAAATGAAATACTCATTTTTAAAGCATCAAACCATCGTTATGGCGACGTAAAAGTTGAAGTTTCAAGTATTAAATATTGTTGAATCCTAAATTGTCATTTGTGGAAACATGTCTCGAGAGTTAAAACTGGGAGAAAAAGAATAAAAGAATAAAAGTAATTGAAGAAGTCGCTGCAGAGAAATAGGGAGAGCTCGTTCTATTCTTGTTTTGGCCTCCTACTTTTAGAGGCGTATTTATACAATTATAGAAAGGAGGGAACTGTTATGAAAAGCGTCCTTAATGTAATTTAATCATGATGATTTGTTGTCAAATCTATATTACGATTTGAATTCAAATGTGGCGGTAACCTGCTAATCGACAAACTTGAGTTCGATCGACCAAGCTGACTGGGCGAGTTGTGATCGTGCATGCCAAAGTAAAAGTCCAGTCAGTCAATATGTTGTAGTCGGACGACCTTGTGAAGAGTTTAGGTAGTTCAAGACTATAGACGTGGCTTACTGATTGAATCCCTCATCATAATGTGTCAGATGATGACTCCAACTGAGTTGTCTGTTGTTGGGAGAAAATATTGCATTAAGACTCTGCACGTAGAGTTACGTGCGGAGTCCAACGAAATCACGCCATGTGGCGGTGACAAGAAAAAAATAAAAATATGTCCGATAACACAAGAGAATAATCCTCCTGTGTTATTCAGGTGTTATTATGTGTTATTCATGTGTTATTGTGTGTTATTGATGTGTTATTGTGTTATTATAACACCTGAAATATTTTCAGAACACAATAAAACACCTTAATAACATATAATAACACAAGAATAACACGAAATAGCATAAGGAGAATATTCTCCGGTGTTACCGAGCCTATTTTTTTCTGTACCTCCACGTGACATGATTTCATTAAACTCCGCACGTAACTCTACGTGCGTAGTCCTGATGCAATAATATTTCCTGTCGTTACATGGTCGACTTGTATCACAGTCTTGTAACCCGATGTCTTGATTGTTCGACCAACTTTTGAGCCGTTCGATTGCTTTGAGATTAACGTCGACGGTTTGGGTGTATACATATATGTAAATACATAAGAATTACTTTATTTGTATGTAAATCTTCCTTCTTTATTTTGTTTCACATTTTTGTTGCTCATTCAGAACCATGGAAACGGTAACATTTTACATTCATATATTCACATATGGTGATTTTCAGAGCACAAAGATAAGATGGAAGAGAGAAACAAGATTACTGTTCAGAAATTTCAGTCGCAATTGACTCAGCAACTGCATAATTTACACAAAGTTGTCTTAACCTCCGCGATGCAGCAGGAGAACCAGCTAAAAAAAATGGAAGAAGAAATGCGGTCATTTGTTTCTACCAAAGCCAAGGTAACACCTAATTAATCTGCCCAAACTTTGCTGTTTTGTATCAATATTATTGAATTGGAGAGGGGCATTTACATGCATACCACCCAATTCTTATGTATTTACATATCAAACACCTAAAAGTTGCTTTTTTTTACATTTATACTGCATCAAAAAATACCTCTCCTTTTTTTTCAAAGTAAAATAAACCTTTTATACATATGAAAGGCGGTGGAATATATAAGTATATGATATATAATTACATAGGAAATGAGTAGCTTGTTTGTTATTGAATTTTATGGAGTGGCAGAAGAAACATTTTACATGCATACCACTCAATTCATATATAATCACATATATAACATTTAAACTGTAATTTTGCATTTATACCACTCAAATCTTTCGTATCACATAAAAAATGCCACCATTTTAACTTTAAAAAAAGTGAAACATACTTTTCATGTATAAGGTGGTATGCATGAAAAAATTGATGCTTAGATACCTGATATATAAATACATAAAAATTGACTCGCAAGTGCGTAAATCGTAGCACACTGTAAACAGGAATTATGGTCAAAATTTACTAAATCCAGCGAAACATAAAAAAACACAAATGAAATTTCAGATTTAAGTTTCAAATTTTAACTTCGATTCACATTAAATTCGGATTTAATAAATCCAGCAAGTACGATAAAATTAAAAAATTCGGATTTACTAAATCCTACAAACCATACACAGGTTCCATAGAAATATGAAATTTCAGATTTAAGTTTCAAATTTTATCTTCGATTCACGTTAAATCCAGATTTAATAAATCCAGCAAGTACGATAAATTTAAAAAATTCGGATTTACTAAATCCTACAAACCATAAATCCTTTCAGCAGCCAAAACACTGCTTAGATGTTCGAAATTCTGTTTATTTATGGACTTCATTAGCAGGCTACTACAGAACTTATAGGATGGGTTGAAAAACTGAAAGCTCTATACGGATCTGGAATGGCAACACTGGATGGTTTGGCAGGAGAACTGGATCAGAATTCTCGAATAACTTTCGGAAAACTGTACTCACAAATGCTGACAAATTCTTCTTCTCTTGATGAAGTGAGTATCACTGCAAATTCTACAAAATTTCTATTAAAAAACTACTTCCTAAATTTTGATTATAATCCCTTCTTCATCAGTGCTTCAGAAGTATTGCTTGGGAGGCTGAGAATTTGCTGACAGAGCTTGAAAGTAGCCTCTCTAGCGAAGAGGATAAGTTGAACACATTTGCCAAGTTGCAACGAGAGGTAGGTAGTTTTATGAACATGCGACACATTTTATTCTAGGGGCATTTACATTTATGTATTTACATATCCAACATCTAAACTATAAGTTTTTCATTTATACCATCTGTATCTTTCAAAACACATAAAAAATATCACTATCTTCTGTATCTTTCAAAACACATAAAAAATATCACTATATTAGCTTTTGAAAGGTGAAATATATCTTATTATGGATGGATAAGGTGGCATCATATATATAAACATTGAAGTTTAGGAGTTAGATATGTAAATGCATAGGAATTAAGTGGTATTTATGTAAATCTTAGTTTATTTTTAGGAAGATTTACATACATATATACCTATGTATTTGCGTGTATACCATCTACACTTCAATTTTTACATACATGCCACCTTATATATACATAAAAAATTGTATATTATTTTTTGGAAGTTAACATAGTGATATTTGTTATGTGATATATAAGGTTTCGGTGATATAAATGTAAACAAAAGTAAAGTTTGGGTGTTAGATATGTAAATACATAAGAATTGGATGGTATGTCTGAAATCATGTCACTAATATTCTTGTCTGTGGAAAACTAAAATAGGGACATCTAAGAACTGTGGAGGCAACACGCTCCATTTCAATTACGACTACAGACTTCTTCCATACCTTGGACGTTCATGTATCAAAGTTGAACAAAATTATTGAAGAAAATCAGACTGAACAAAACCAACAACTGAGTGAACTTGAGAGGAAGCTTCAGGTGATAGTGATATACCTCGCAGTTCTCAACTAGTTGTACTTGCTGAAGCCTTATGAAATGTTTTGCACTGCAATAGTTTCTAAGTCCAGATATTCTTGCAGGAGTGTGCTGCTAATGACGAAGAGCAATTGCTAGAGAAGTTAGCGGAGTTGCTCGCAAGTTCTAATTCTCGGAAGAAAAAACTGGTACAGATTTGTGTATTTTAGTTTCATCATTCATGTATATGTCTGCAATTTTTTTTTTTCCCTTGGAAACTGTTTTGGATTTTGACCTTTACTAATTGGTGAAATGTGATTTGACAAGCATATCCATAACGTTTGCATTAGTGTTAATTTTAATATTTATGCTTTGCATAACTTTAGTTGAACAAAACTTGGCGAATAAATTGAGCTTTTGTGAAAAAATGATTATTTCCTTGCACAAATGTCAAAGGTAGACAGAAAAAGAGAAGTAAGAAAATGAGAAAAGAGAGATTTGGGAGACAACAATCAGTATTTTCCCTTATACTTTTTCTCTTCCATTATTTGCAATTTTGCATGACACTAGATACCTTTTATCTTCCTCTCTCTATTTTTGAATAAGTGTCAAAATAGTCCTTTGACTATTTACATGAGGTCATTTTAGTCCCAAAGTCTATAAAAAATAATTTCACTTCTAATATGGGTTGAAATGATCCCCCAAGTGGATCATTTTAGTCTCCATTGAAAAAATTTGGAGACTGATTTGACACTTTTATAGACTTTGGGACAAAAATGTGATGGGATGGATTATGAGCACTTGGGGCTTCAATTGGTCCACAATCAAAACCACAACAAGAAATAAATCACACAAAAACGACAAATTTGGAACAAGCAAATCAAACAGAAATGCAACAAAGTAATCTAAGGAAAACACACCAGGATTTACATGATTACTTTCGAATCATCGTGTCACTTTCTTGATCTATTGCATTCAATATAACTTTTTCACATATCAAATGAAAATGATTTACTTTTGAATCCATGAAAAAAAAAACACGGAGACAAATTAACAAAAAATCTCACTATTAAAAATAATAAATGTACAAAGATACACACTCACATAAACTATTTTCAAATATAGAAACTCACAAAACTTAGCTCCAATCATTTATCCCTCTCTTGGACTCTTTCAAAACATTGTCGAGAAACACTGCGTGCGAGAATAGTTTACTACGTCGCTCCAATCTCAACATAAGAACAATAACAGGAGGGAACCGTCTGGTGGTGTAGCCATGCCATCACCCAACATAATTATTCAGAGCGCTCAGGAGAAAAGATCTGGAATGAAGCCAATGTGGCGTGGTTAAGTCCTTTGTTAACCTTTGGATCAGCGAAACTACGCCGATCTGGAATGAAGCCAATGTAGCGTGGTTAAGTCATTTGTTTACCTTTGGATCAGCAAAACTACGCCGATTTGGCGTGATTACGATGTGCATAAGATCCTCTAGATGGTTGCAGGTGCTTCTTTGGCTCCATATCCTAAAAAAAATGGACATCTAAAAGTGTCATAGGACCATTTTGACACTTTAATCCCCTATTTTCATGTGGAACACGAACTATTTACATGCCAAATGAAAATAACTTTCTTAAAAATTATCACAATGTCAGGAACAATGTGCAACAGTGCACCGGAGCTCAGTTAATTGCAACTCTACAGTTAAACATGTTTGAGTGAGAATAGTTGTAGGATAGGTGACCGAAAAAATCCTCTTGCTTACGTATGCATGTTTTCACTTTGTGGAACATCATCTCTATATGTTTATTGCCTTAAAATTATATAACGAATCAGTTAATTGCATTGAATTGAAGAAATTTTTTACCAGCTTAGCTATAGTGAATTACTAATCATTGCGTCATTTCGTTTGATATTTGTATTGTAGGTTCAAACAGCAGTTGACACTCTGAGAGTGAGTGCTGTCGATGGAACAAATAATATACAAAAAGAACTTTCTAATGCTCAAAATTTCGCCTCATTTGTTAAAGAGAAATGGGCGCTTTACATGGAAGAAACGGAAAATCATCACCTTGAGGATACTGCTGCAGTGGAAAAAGGAAGAAGCTGCTTGGAAGAAGGCCTGAAGGAATGGTATATATGCTTATCTACCCAATTGCAAGAGCTAAATTTTTTATTTTTGGAAGATTTACATACATACCATTCGATTCTTATGTATTTAGATATCTAACTCCTAAACTTTAATTTTTACATATATGTCACCTTACCTATACATAAAACAGTGGAGTTCACTTTTTAAAAGTTAAAATAATGATAGTTCTGATATGATGTAAGATTTGAGTGGTATAAAACAAAGTTTAGGTGTTATTTATGTCAATGCCACATTTTTTGCTAATGGCATTCTTATATATGAATAATTCCTTGATTTGCAGCATGAAAGACGTAAAAATTGGTTCACTTTTATGGAAAAATGCTCAGGATTCTCTATCAAGCTTGGCCAAAGGACATGTAGCATCAGTGGAGTCAATAGTTTGGTAAGCAAAATTTCAATGATCTTAAGCTGAGGAATGACCTGTGAAGGCACATGAGAGTATTAAGTTTAATCTATATAGTACAGTCCAAAAAAAAGTAATTGCAAAGATGTCAAGTGTTTGGCTCATGTCATAAGCTTAAGCTTTTCATCTTTGACTCTCCACTTCTTTAATTCTAATTCTGAATTAAAATTCAAAACTTTTTGCTTAGGAGTGGAATGGAAGCCAATCAGTTAATAAGGGCAAACTTGTCTTCTGCTGCAACAACTGCACTGGAGCAAGTTGAGGTAGGAAACAAGAGCCTTCAATCCTCAATTGAAGGTAAAGCTTTTCATTCCTCAATTTGAATTTTGGGGAATTTACATTCCTGAAACACAATTCTTATGTATTTACATATCTCACACTTTCATATTTACATGCATAGCACTTCGGTGCTTTACAACTATACATGATAATAGTATTATTTTTGATGTGATATTTAACATTTTAGTGCTATGTGAGTAAATATCCAAGCTTAGGCGTGAGATATGTAAATACATTAGAATTGTGTGCCATGTATGTAAATGCCTCTTGAATTGTTTGGCATCTTGAATTGTTTGGCAAACACCATCCAACTTTCAGGATTCAAGTTATACATGTTTTTGAATCAGTAGCTTACATTGCAAGAATATATATTTTTTTGCATGTGTTGATTGGTGAAAGTCTCCCTTCTATTTTGGTTTTTACAATCAGCCCAATCACCAGGTTCCTTAAAACTTGATCATGACGCATGTGTAAGCGTCAGTTCCTTTACCACCCCATCTCAAAGGGACCTGTGGAGCTTGAGGAATGGTCACTATCAAAAGATTGTTGAGATCACAGATGATGCTGGGAGATGCTTAGAACGGGAATATAAGGTAATTTGTATGAACATTAACTGCATGATAACATTTAATAAAGAGAAAAATGTCAAAATGAACCCCTGACTCTTTTTCTGGAGCCATTTTAGTCTCATAATCTATAAAAATATAAATTTTGTCCCATACTCTTTTAATGGGAGATAAAGTAGTCATCACTTGAGACTATTTGAGCCTATATTGAAGGAGTCTACGGACTAATTTAATATTTTTATAGACTCTAGGACTAAAATGACCTCGTTAAAAAACCAACGGACTATTTTGACAACTTTACTCCTTTAATAAAACACACCTAGTAAATTTGATTAATTTATCAACTAAATAATGTATAGATGGATGAACCATCTTCTTCAACCCCAAGAATGAGGGATATCATCTTGCCAAGTGGGGCATCCATAGAAGAGTTGAAAACACCAGCCTTCGAAGAGTTGCTCAAAGGATTCGGTGAGGCCAATTATGCATGCAAGCAAGAGAATGGTGATATAAAACATCTATATACAGCATATGAGGTTCCTTCACAGGCATTGAGAGATTATAGAGTTCCTTTAACTACACAATATTAAGTGAGAGCTGAATACTAAAGTATCCAGGTCTATGTACAGATGAAAGATTGAGGAAATTACTAATAAGTTTATTGGTGAGTTTCTTTTTAAATTGATTATCTTGAGTAATACATTCATCAAAATTATTTTTGATATATTTTATACTGCGTGCTATGATTATAAGCAATAATGATATAGTATGCAAGTAAAATCAAGCAGGATGTCTAAATGATATGAAAATCAATTTGTCTAAATGATATGAAAATCAATTCACTTGAAATGTTTATTAACATACATGAATGCAAAAATAATCAATTTCTTCAACCATAAGAAAGTTATGTTCAGTACTTTGAAGTGCACCAAAAAAGAAGTTTATTTAGAAAAATATAGTGACAAGCAACATCACGTTTCATGGAGGACTCCGTTCACTATCTTGTAATTCTCTTCAGTTATTTTGCAAAGTTATAAGATTTATCACCGATATATATGTATCACTAATATCAAGAAATATTATACTTATCACAGTAGAGTAGAAAATCTGAATGTTGTAATCTTTGTGCAGGAAGAATATCCTCTTTCAGCTGTTTGGCCTTGATGGTCAATGATGAGTGGCTGGTGCTTGTAGTGAGTACAGTAATGGACACACCAAGGTGGTGCTGTAGTGGCAGTCCAAGAATTTCGAAGAAGGCTCATAGTGTGACAAATAATGAGAAACAAGTTTAGATGCTTGAATTGCTCAAGTTTTATTCCAACAATTGACTCATATTTATACAACTCTAAGAGTTCCTTTATATAAAGCATAGAAAATTAGAAGCTATACGATTAATTACATTAAATTAGTGCACATGAATTGATGAGGTGGCATTCATGAACACATTAAGCAATGAAGTCGCTAGGCATAATTTATGGAGCACTAATTTTAATTATTATAATATTGATATTTATTATTCGTTATGTTGATATTTCCCCTCAATTTTATGTTGTTTGGTCAAGAAACATCAATTTGCTTATAAAAAATTGATGTCTTTGATTGGCCAATGCCTTCGCAAAAGATGTTTGTGATAAAAGTTTGTAGAGATATAAAAAATGATTTGAGTATCAAAGTTTTTGAATTGTGTGAAAGTTAGCTTCAATATGGTTTATTTTCTCTTGATACCATATAAAGAACAAAACATGCTTTGGTGTCTAAATAAGATATCGAATGATTTGACGAATGCCAGCCAAATCTAAGTAACAAAGATTCTAAATTAATTAACTTATTTATTGAACTGTAAAGGAAATATCAGGTCGAGTAAAGTTTAAGTAATTTAGAATATACATCAATTATCTATATATGATGGGAACAAAGAGAATATGACATTCCTTGCCATAATACTTTATGTTTACTTTTAATGGATTATTCAAACGTGAAGAATTTTGAAGTTTTGCAAAAGTAGTTAGATTTTGTGTTTTCTTCTCTTGGTTATGGAATGTATTAGAAGAATTGGCGTGTAATTTCAAATCAAATTATAAGTGAGGACCCAAAAATTTTTCATATGAATTTTCTCTCGAAGATGTTATAGACAATTAATTAGAACCAAATACATTCTAGTAATAGTGATGGCATCGACATAAACAAGAAGAGTTGTGATTTCATTGGGTTTGTTAAATAAACATAATAATGAGTCATGCTTGATTCATGTAAAAGAGAGCACATAGATAAAATTTATTATCATTCACAGGGAGCATGCTTTAAACCACCAAGGGAAAGCCAATTAAATTGCATACTATCATAGGTAAATTTATTGATACCCCCGGTGATACCTTCATGAAATTTTTTTCCTTGATATCACCAAAAGTATTCTTAACATTGATATGGTAAAGTTGCCATCTTTACAATTAACGTTTGAGATAATCTTTCATGATATGGTCATTTTTGCCACATGAGTAAGTATATTTTCACATTCAACCTCATATTCTTGTTTGTTACCAAGAACAACCAATCATGCTTTATAGTGATCCAAGGTGTCAAGATGAAGTTTGATTAAGTAAACTCAATTAAGGGTATGTTTGGGGTAGCTAGCTTATCTAACTTATTCAGATAAGCAGAATATCTTGATAATCTGCTTCTCAACAGTTGATCCAGATGAGTTGTTTGACTGTTTGAATATCTTGATAATCTGCTGATCAACAGTTGATCCAGATGAGTTGTTTGACTGTTTGGTTTGAGCGTTTAATTTGTTGATAAATGATCATTCTGCCCCCGAAGAACTGAATAGGCTGTTAAGATGTGTCAACGATAAATTCCCTGGCCAAATAGCGCCATAACTAATCCAAGAAAGAAAAATACAAGTTGCGATTGAGAATTCTAACCTAAGCAAAACTGCTCTAAAATGACGGGAAAATGGAGGATATCTAAGAGTCTGATACCTTTATCGAATTTTTTTGCCATCACGGTCGATTCTGGTCACCGTGAAGATATCCTCGAACAGGAGCTCAACCATTTTAGCCAGTAAATTCTGATGGTGAAGTGGGAAAACTTTTGGGGATGGCTACAGCCGAAGGATGCCGCAGAGCTCGAGATTCGACCTCCACAGGAAGGGAACAATCAAATAGGCGAAGATATCTATTTCTAGGCGTCGGCAATACGCTACCCGAACTAGAGTGTGTCGACGAGGAGAACCTTAAACCTAGATTTTCCTTCTCGTGGAGCATAGCCAGCCTCTTCCACATTCCAGCCAATCCAACGCCTCGTTCTTCCTGCTCTCTCGGACACCGCCCTCGTCGCCAGCCGTGGAAGTGGCTGATGCTGTTGAGCGCATAGTTACCGGCCCGTTCCTATTGCTCGATCGCTCTTCTTCCTCCGTCCGGAGAAGGGCACGGGAGGTATTTCCCGATCAAACGCAGACCGCATCCCGCTTCCTTAATAAAATCAAAACTCCATTTTCAAAGCACCGACGAAACGCTTAAATCAAACGGACATTGCCCACCTAAATCATATGGATTAATAATTGGAGGACATTGAAAAATGTGATATGTATGCTTATCCTCAAGAGTTTAAGTTATTTAGCTATAGCTTCTATCCAACAATTAAGTTTAATAACCTTTGAATAGTTTGAAGGAATCAAGCCTAATGTGAATTGAAACATATATCAACTTGGAGGATAAAAATAACAAATCTGGTAGTGAATCAATTTTCTCGGGTGCAGGTGACAAGTTATTGGCATATGCTCGAATGAAAGATTTAACTCATGAATTAGTATAGTTGGATGCTTTCTCTCATACATACATCCAAATTTAAATCTTTCAACTCTAGAATTTTGATCATCAAAGCTTAAGAAGATTATAGATTGCTGGCATAAGCCTAGCAATAATAGAGAAAGAAATTAATTTTTAAAGAACATTAAATTACAAAAAAAATTGAAATTTGTTTTAATCCTAATTATAGCACATATAGTCTTTGTGAGATGCACTATAACCCATAAATACATATTTAATAGATTGAGTTAAGCATTTATGATGTTCATGCGTTGATAGATAAGTAAAATGTACAAAATAAAATGTAAGTAAATTGTTATAGTTTGGATGTTTCTAAATGAGATGATCACAAGGGAGTCAATTTTTGAGATATTGGAGTGAAATTTATTAATTAAATAGATTGTTGTGTTTAACACTTCAACCTACAATTTTGGGAGAACTAAGGGTTCCAATAATAAGTTTGAACATCTATTAGGTAGGAGATTCTTACATTCTCCAATACCATCTTGTTGAGATATATAAGAGCATTATATTTGATAAATGATTCCCTTATTTTAAGCAAAGTTTTAAAATCAGAACTTCATTTTTGATGTGAAATGAAAATTGATTCTCAAGCTAAGTAACAAATTTTTTAGGATATTAAACACTTAATTTTTATTACAAAGGAATTAAATAAGTGCATTTTTCATGATCATCCATGAATATTATAGAATAATTGTAATTTGTATGCAATATAACATGAGTTGTGTCCCATACATCACCATAAGTTAGTAGAGAATAACTTTTAGCATGACGAAGAGGTGATGAAAGCAATTGTCTATTCTTTTCTAATTTAAATATTAAGAAGTCGGGTGAAATAAAATTAAATTAAACTCTATTTCTTAATAAACTAGTGCATATTAAGTGAGATAAAATAATAGAGATTAGATGAGCTAATCTTTATTTTCAAAATATTTTTTTCATTTTTTTAATTACAAATTAATGAAAATACATTTGGAATGGAAGAATGCAAGGGAAATATTTGTTATAATACCCCATCATAAATATTTTTCTAATCTCTCGATCTTCTACAATGCAACCATTATGAAAAAAAAACAAATATCATAATTACTATTAATTAAACTTATTTCTTGGATGAGAATAATTGAGAGAATATGAGATTGAGATAATAATGACATCTCTCACACTATGGTTAATATCCTCAATAGACTTGAAAGATAGCTACCACTACAAAGTTGAAAAGATGATGATCTATGATATGTTTTGATATTGTGAAAGTACAAGAATTTGCAGAGTAGGATGAAGAGAGGAGCATACCCATATCTTGATGCCCTACAACAAACAAAGCTTTAATTATCATCCTGGACACCAACTTCTAAGTAAACTTAAATTTGTCGATGGATGCTAAATAGACATCCTGGATATTAATGGTTGTTTATGTTGAATTTTCTAGACATCCTGGATATTAATGGTTGTTTATGTTGAATTTAGTTTTCAATTATATAAATATTTTTTTATATTCATTGATCACATACTCTGACTTTTAATTGTATAATTTTCCTATATCTTTTGCAAGTGTATCATTTTATATGATGCAAAGGCAGCCTCATTTTAAGGTAAATCCAATGCTTTTTTTTTAATGGCTAATTTTTATTTATACATACATAGGGCATTATAATAAATAAAGACAAGAACAATTAAAAAAAAGATAATGTGTGTGCCTGTGTGTGTCTATGAGTAATATATAAAGATTAATGGAGAAGAGATCGTTTACAATAATAAATTTAAAAGTTAAATTATTGTGATTAATTTTACTTCTAGTGATATTAAAATCAGTTGATGATTAAATATTTAATCAAATTTAATAAAAATTAATTTTCATATTATCTAGAATTTATTCCAAATATAAGAAAAATCATAATTATTAGTGTTTGATAAAATAATTAACATTAAATTAATAGTAATTAAATAATAATATCATTTGAGGAAATGGATTAAATGATGATTTCTACTAAAGATAAAATAAGGGTAACTTACCTATAAATAATAAAAATTAAGTTATAATAAATTAATCAAAAGATTTTACATTGATGATTATATCTATTTTTCAGAAGAAAAAGTTGATAGAACTTAAAGACAAATGAATTTTCTAAACTCAAGGAGAGTATTTTTACTTTTATGCTCTAGTAACATTTTTTGCTTCTTCTAAACCAACTGCATGAATAGTTATTTATACTTGATTAATGCACTTATGGAACTTTATTTTGATTCATCTCTTCTTCAATTTTGCTAGTCCTCTAGATATAAAATTTTCAAATATTTGAATATGAGAAATTTTATGCATTATCCATAAACTATTACAAATCGAATGAAATGAAAATGTGAATGATATGGATTATATAGAGTGGCTACATGGCATGTGGAGTTCACCCCCTTATAATACTAGCGGGGAACACCAAGATACATGTGTACATAATTAAAAATAATATTGATATTGATGTATTGTAATTGATACAATTTTAGATGGTACTCTTGTGATGCTTGTATATATATATATATATGATATAGACATGTTTTGGAATAGACATGTTTTGGATATAGTACATCATATTGAATACAAAGATCACATCTAAAAGTCTAATGCTTTTATATTGATTTATAGTAGTACTTACTAATATGCATACTATGTCATCTTTCATTTTGTTATTATAATTTAGAAATAGGAATACTCCTTGACTTTTGTAGCTAACTATTGTTTTAAATTAACTGTTCAAGTTTAAGCTTATGTTTAAAGATAAGTAATAAATAAGAAAATGTATATAGAAAACATGTATAATCTAAGCTAAAAAAACTTATAATTTGTTTATTTTTTTAAAAAAAATTGTAGCGGCTCTTCATTTATTTTATGATGATTAAATGTTAGTTATGAAAAAAATGAAAAAAAAGAAATATTTGATTATTACCATCCAACAGTCTATTTCCGTTTTAGAAAATTCAAAGCCCAGGGTCAGGTCATGATATATATAATGATGAGACTGAGCTTTTAGTTATTTTTTTATATTTAAGAAGCAAAAGCATGATCCATTTTTTTAAAGCAAGTAACGATTGAATAATTTTGATAGCAATCAAGATGCACCAAGCCAGATTAGCATGAAACTACATCCATTGTCCTCGTGCTTGGCCGGGTTAAATTGGGGAGCAAGTCCTAATACATTTTGTTTCCATTTAAAATGTTTCTACCAATGTGAATGTTTAGGCATGCCTGACAAAATAATGATCTTGTATAAATATGCTAGTTTTTGGCATACATCCTACACTTCCAGCTGAAAACAAATGAGAAAGCAACTAATTTACTATTATCATTATATGATGCTAACCAGAATAAGTTAAACACCTTCACAACATGCTTATGAAAGAAACAACTTCTTTGGAAGATTTAAATACAAACCACTCAATTCCTATTGTATTTACATATCTAACACCTTAACTTCAGTTTTGACATGCATGCCCCCTTACCTATGCATAAAATAGTGTATTTCACTTTTAAAAAGTTAAAAGGGTGGTATTTATGGTGTGATATGAAAGGTTTGAGTGGTATAAATGTAAAATGTACAGTTTATGTGTTAGATATGTAATAGATAGGAATTGGGTGTTACGTATGTAAATCCCTCTAACTTCTTTTTCCACACCCAGAAATTCCTAAGATGTGAGCTTATTATTGTGTAGGAGAGAATGGAATCCGATGCCTTGGGAACAAATTTCAATGTCTTTACCAACTGGACAAGTTGGAATCTTTTAGAAGCAAATAAATTAATATGATGAGAAACTATTGTTAACAGATGGACAACCATTGATGCCTGAAAACTAAAAGATATGCTTTAAACCACAATCAACTGCTGCACATAGATAGCAAAACAAGAGGATCAAAATAATTTCAGCAAAGCCATATGTATATAAATATATATATTTGCAAAGTATCAGCAAAAGTAAGTCTAAATTTGAGGCACAGCCACAAGAAGAAAGAACACAGACGTTCAAAGGCCCTCGCAAAAAGTTTACCAAAATATTTAAACAGTGCTGGAAACAAACATTATTCATACTACAAGAGGAAAGATCTTAAGAACCGGACCAAGTCGAGCTCATATATCATCATTCATTTCCACTTCTTAAACTTGCCTCCTATGTTTCCATGCTTCCCATGTTTCCCATGCTTAAATTTGCCATGATGTTTGCCATGGTGCTTGAACTTACCGCCGTGATGACCAGATGATTGGTATTCTCCATGATGACTACCATGTGTCACGTGGTGAACTCCATAACCAGCGGCAGCAGCGGCGGCGGCGGCCCCCCAGCCACCACTGTTCCTACGTGAGTTCCATGTCCTAGAAATGTGACATTACAGAGAAATGAGAAATAAAGTATAGAAAGCCTACACCTTACGGTATCTTTTGAAACATTGCGATCTAAGACGAGCAAAATAAATAGAAAGAATCGCAAAATGGTCTCCTGATTGGTCGATTATGACTGATTTAGTCCTAGAGTTCTGAACTGGACTAGTTTAGTTTTTTGGTTATTAAAAATTGATCCCAATGGATCCATCCTGTAGAAATGATGACACAAAAATGGTTCCCATTTTATCCCTCACAATACAAATTTGATCTCAATTTAATTGTAATCTCTGAAATTAAACAAAATATAGATGATAATAATAATAAATAAAACACGAGAAAATTTTCCACACGGAGTCCGAACGCAGCTCTGCGTGCAGACTCCAGTAATATGCCGCCACGTGTGCTACATCGCAGAAGCTATTGGAGGTTATTGAAGTGAAACTGCGGAACTTATTGGAGTGAATTATTGAACTTTAACCGTAAAAGTTATTGGGAGGTTATTGTGTGTGTTATTGCAGGAGGTTATTGAAGTGAAACTGCAGAGTATATTGAGGGGTTATTGCATGGGTCATTACAAGGAAAAAATATTACATCAGAACTCTGCATGGAGAGCTGTTTGCGGAGTCCAATCTCAATCTCGCACTGACATGCGGAAGGTTGAAAACGTGCGACCCAACCCAACCGATGCATTATAGGAATATTTCATCGCATATGAATATTCCCTCTCGTTATTCTGAATATTTTTCGCGTTATTCATGTGTTATTTGTGTGTTATTGAGGGTTTAAAAATATTCCCTCGCATTATTCATGTGTTATTTAATGTGTTATTAAATCTGTGTTATATGAATATTTCCTCGTGTTATTCTGAATATTTTTCGAATTATTTATGTGTTATTTAATGTGTTATTGATGTGTTATTCATGTGTTATTGGTGTGTTATCGAGAGTTTAATAATATTCTCTCGAGTTACTCATGTGTTTTAATATGTTATTCTGAAAATTATCTCAATAACACACCAATAACACATGAATAATACGAAAAATATTCAGAATAACGCGAAGAAATATTCCTATAATACATTTTCATTTTTTTTTCCTTTTTTTATGTAAGTGAGCCCGAATTTTCACGTGTCAGCACGAGATTGGACTCCGCTAATAGTTCTGCATGCGGAGTCCTGATGTAATATTTTTTCTATTACAATGGGTTATTGAAGTGAAACTGCGGAGATTATTAGAGTGTTATTGATGATTATTGAAGTGGAACCATGATGTTTATTATAGGGTTAATTTAATACCCCCAATAACCACCAGTAACAACCACAATTCCACTCTAATATTCTTTCGGGGAGCCTGATGTACCACACATGCGTCATATTTACATCTCTTCGAAGGAATTAGATCGTTCTACCCAATTAACGAACAAAGAAGGAGAATCGAGCAAGCGGGAAGTAGAAATAGCGAGCCATAGAAGTAACGAAGGAGAAGAGGATGATTTACCTGTGAGAATCGAAGCCGGGCGAGAAAACCAACACTTGACGAAGGAAGATGCGTCTAATGCTTATGTTAGACGTCGTGTTGTGAAGCCTATCCTCTAGCCATAGGTAAAAGAGGAGCAGACCAACACTGGACGAAGGAAGATGCGTCTCATGCTTATGTTAGACGTCGTGTTGTGAAAAGGAAGCCTATCCTCTAGCCATAGGTAAAAGAGGAGCAGGGAGAAGAGTCGGGATGCAGCTTTGTTGAGAGAAGAAGGAAAGTCGAGCCGAGAAGAATAACGAAAGGAAGAAAAAGGATTGTTATTTTCTTCCCTTACCTGAGGCTCAACTTCGTGCCTGGCCGTGCGAAGGAAGAATGGAAGCATCGACAGGGTCTAAGAATCTGTTGGTCATTGTTTTAGGGCGGACTTCGTGCGGGAGAAGAATCCGTGCCCTAAAAAGCTTCGTGCACTGTGATCGCAGGTGAGGAAGAGGGGGATAGACTTCTTGTTTTTTTTTTTTAATGGTGCTCAGAGATTCATGTGCTGTCTGTATGAAATAGTTTTTCCAAGCCGAGATCGTG